CAAGTTTGGCAGGATTGATATAGGTCTGTAGTTGTTAACATCTGTGGGGTCACCACATTTGTGGACAGGCGTTACTCTCGCTTTTTTTAGAATATCTGGAAAGGTTTGGAGTTCAAGTGACTTGTTGAAGAGCAAAGCAATAGCAGGGGCTAAAGATCTGGAGGCTTTTTTGTAAATTAAAGTTGGTATCTCCTCAAGGGCACCAGACTTGGTTTTAAGGGAAAGGATTATCTCATTGACGTCAGTGGAGTTAATAGGCTTTAGGTACAGAGACTGTGGATAGTTACCTGTAAGATAGTCCTTAATGTCAGTACTGGAAGATGGAATATCATTTGCAAGGGATGAACCAATGGAAGAGAAGAACCTATTAAACTCAATAGCAGAATCAGAGGCTGAAAGCTGACCATCGTTATTAGACAGGAGAGTCGGTTTGTTATTTAAAGATTTCTTTGATCCCAATATTTGTGAAATTGTGCTCCAAGTTTGTTTAATGTTGCTCTTTATTTGAGTAAATTTATCTTCGTAGTAATTAGTTTTGGCTCGTCTAATTATCTTAGATAGCAATAATGAGTAATTCTTTGAGAATTCTTTGGAGACAATTCCTAACCTATACTTCTTCTCAAGGTCGTGTTTTTTGTTAATGGATTTCAGTATTCCCTTTGTAAGCCAAGGATTGTTAAGCCTTTTGCTTGTGACTTGTTTTGTAAGCCTAGGACAGTGGGTGTTATAAAGGCTAAGAGTTGTTTGTAGAAAAGATTGCACTGCTAGGTTGATGTCCCCTATGTTACCTAACTCGGACTCCCAGTTGACATTATCAGCAGCAGTTATAAAATTGTTTATAGCAGTTTCATTGTGCAGCCTAAAGCTTAACTCCCTTGTTTCTAGAGGTGGTTTGCTAATGTTAGTTAAAAGAAATGTGGGGTAGTGGTCTGTAGTGCTATCGGTGATTATACCTGAAGTAAGCGGAGAGGTTATGTTGGTCCAGATGTGATCTAGAGTCGTGGCAGTGCTATCAGTGATTCTAGTAGGTCTAGTGATTAAGGGTATGAGGAGGCAGGAATTCATACAGTTGAGGAAGCTAACAGCAGTAGGGTGTTCTGGCTCGCAGAGGTCAATATTAAAGTCCCCTGCGATAATTAGGTGGTTTTTGTTCAGTCTGTTATCAAGTATTAGATTTCTAAGGTTTGAGTTGAATCCAGACACATCAGTGTTGGGAATTCTATAGACTGCACCCACAGACAGGACAGACTCGGCACCCTTGACTCTGAAGCTGGCGAAGATATACTCCCCATAGCAGTCTCTAGTTCTAATTTCTTTTAAGCATGTTAGTTCTTGGTGGTAGTAAAGAGCAGTGCCACCACCTCTCTGAAGTTGACGACAGTTGTGAATTGCTGAGTAGTTAGGCATGTTAAAGAGTTGAGTAGTATCCTCTTTCAACCATGTTTCAGTAAGTATAATAAAAGAGAATTTGTTGCCAATAGTTTCAATCAAGGCACTAACATCATCGAAGTGTTTACCTAGGGATCTAACGTTCAAATTGATTACAGAGATATTGTGATTATGAGTTAATACATTGTTTACATCATGTGCTGCAAAATATCTGCAATTTAGATCATTAAAGTGATTATTGTCATAGATAGTGGATAAGAGGTTAAGTTCAGGGTCTATACTTGACTGCATAAAAAAAGCTGATTGTAGAATCAGAAATAAGTAGAAAAAAGCTATAAAATAGGGAAAAATATATACACAATACTGTACAAAACAAACACAAAAGGGGCTTACAGGGGTACAAAGGAGTAAGGGAGTATGGCTAGGCTAGGCAACCTAGGCAATTAATGAGATTAAAGAAAAAACATGTAAACATGAACTATACAAAACACAAGATATGGAAATACAAAACAAAAAATATAAGCAAGACTAAGCAATACAAAAAAAAAAGAAAAAAAACAAATTGAGCAAAAAAGAGGTAGATTGCTTACGAGTACTCACAGGTACACTGTGAGTAACAATTTGCAATTTGAGATGCAGGCAAAGCCAGGGGTACAATGGAGTAAGGGAGCATGGCAAGGCTAGGCAACCTAGGTAATAAATGAAATCAAAGAAATGTTGAATAATAAACATAGGCAAATTTAAGCTAATGATTAATAACTATAGATAGTTCAGTAATGACTGTATAATTAAAAAGACCTGAAGAACTACTTAAAACTCAATTAAATAATTTCGGTAAATGACTAGGTAAGAGTAAGTTAAAAATTAAGTCAGAAAATGAACCAAGGAGACTTAGGATACCTAGCCCCACTAGTTGACAGGGGGTTAATTAAGTTAATTCATTGGGAGTGATAAGGTGAGACAAACCACATTGGGAGAGGAAAGTGTTGAGGTTTTCTTCTCTAGTAATAGTAAACATTTTGCCCTCTGCGGTTTTTCTCACCTTTATCAGACCATCTCTAACGAAGCACTGATGAATAGCATCTGGGTTTTGTTGCCGGATTTGACGCAGGCGGTAGAGGATTTGCTGTCTGTTCCTGGTCAAGCACTCGTTGATGTATAATCCCTTCCGTAGGGATGCAGCTGTCCGGACTAGATTGGATTTCATGAACTGGGAAGACAGCTTCAGGCGAATTTTCCGTTGATTTAGACCTGATGGATTCTTTTTGCCTACTCTGTAGGCAGCAATAACGTCAGTTTTGTTTAGATTGAGCTGCAGTTTGTTTTTTAAGAGATCCTGAGCTATTTCGAAACAATTTTCACCTTCATGTTCCACAGGTATATCTTGGGACGACACTATAACAGAGTCTAGCAGCTTTTGCTGGTCTTGTTCCTCCTGGGAGACGGAACGTTGAGCTGAAAATGTACTGATTCATGCAGTCATTTTGCTGAGAGCTTCCTCCTGCTTTTTTAAGGCTTCATCAGTTTTCCGAAGGTTGTTTTCCTCATGGAGATCATTCAAATCATGCTGTAGTTGGTCTTGGCTAGCCTTGTAGTTTCTAATATCCTCGCGGAGGAGGGTTATACATACAGGAATACAGGTATACATACAGGTATATATACCTGTATATATACCTGTATGTATAACATATACCTGTTATACATACAGGTATACATACAGGAAATACAGGAGCATACAGGAATTCATGCTGTTAAGGAAATAGTCTACTTGAGGACTATTTTGTAGCCCAAGGTCAATATTGTAATAAAGCTCAATTACTATTAAGTTTTGGTTAGTGTTTTTCCCCACCTCGCCTTGCCCGAAACGCTGTGCGTACTAGTGGCTTTATATAGGTATTGTATGTACTACCTCTATCTATAAATCAATCAGAATTTTTGTAACTGCATCTATGTATGTACTTTTCCTCAATAAAATATTATTATTATTATTATTATTATTATTATTATTACTTACAAGATGAGTATGGGGTGCACAATAAACTACCACTCACAGGATGAGTATGGGGTGCACAATAAACTACCACTCACAGGATGAGTATGGGGTGCACAATAAGCTACCACTCACAGGATGAGTATGGGGTGCACAATAAACTACCACTCACAGGATGAGTATGGGGTGCACAATAAACTACCACTCACAGGATGAGTATGGGGTGCACAATAAACTACCACTTACAGGATGACTATGGGGTGCACAATAAACTACCACTCACAGGATGAGTATGGGGTGCACAATAACTACCACTCACAGGATGAGTATGGGGTGCACAATAAACTACCGCTCACAGGATGAGTATGGGTGGTCCATGACTCAGTGTAAAACCATGTTAAAGACAGTACCTCTCTCAACCAGTTTAAGTTAAAAACGAAGCTATACCTAATAAATTCCCTGTAACCTACCTTACCCCTCTGTTGTCAACCCATGTATGTTTTTTGTTTTTTTTTGTTTTTCAAATCAACGCTGTTTGAATGTAATTTTCTGTAATAATTTGTAATTGTATTTGTGCTGCTTTTTCAACAATGTTCCCCCCTCTTTTACCTCTATTTTTATTTGTTCTCAACACATTTTATTCTTTTTACCCATTAGTTTTAAGCTTTAGTCATTAATGTTTTTCCTGCCCGAAACGCTTTGCGTAATAGTGGCTTTAGGCATTGTATGTACTAGCTCTATCTATTAAGCCAACAAACTTTGTAAAATCTCTTTATGTATGTACCTTTACCTAAATAAATATTATTATTATTATTATTATTATAAAACATTACTTTTAATGTTGGGGAAAGTGAGCCAACAGTGTGAACAGTTTACCGGGAGTTCGAGCACATGCAGCGGAGGAAATATATATACGTCCTTAATTAAGCTCTTGAATTAATAAATTATGAAGTATATAGGTTTGTGGTTTATTATATGATAGGGTGAACCGCTAAAGGTAGAAGACATTACGGTAATATATGAAAGTTTAGCCAGGTGGGGTGTAGAGTCGGACATCATGTCGCTCCTAACTTGGGTATTGATTGTACTCAGAATGAGTCATACTTGTTTATGGTGTTAAGATGCGAATAACTGAGTTAAGATGGAGGTGAAGGAGCGTGAGAACCGAGGAGTGAGACGGTGATGTTATAGAACATGTTGTATGGGTGTCTTGACCCATACAATAGTCCCACTTACATATAAGCATCACCGTATATATACATCACACCTGCTCACTACTACTCTCCTAACATCCTTCATATTAAAATATTCTTATAACAAATGTCAAGATATAATTCTAGAGTGTGTAATAAGTGAGTATAATAGAGCTAAAATTATCTTAAACTTAAAATTATCTGTTAGATTAAGGACCTGCTCGAAACGCTGCGCGTACTAGTGGTTTTACAAGATTGTAAATACTATGCTATGTATTCTCACAAACCCAATGTACCTTCTTGTATATAAATAAATAAATAAATAAATAAATAAATAAATACAAGCTAGAGCGGAGAGATGAGAGTATGGAAGTGGGCGGAAAGTGGGGGAAATGTTCGAGATGATTCCCGAATGTTGTTGTTGTAGGTGGCGCTGGTGTCCGGCCCGGCCAGTCACTCTCCTCCAGCGGCGCCCCGTCCACCTCCCCGTCGCCGCCTGCTGTAGCCGCCGCCATCTCCGCCATCCCGGGCCCTCGCGCCCTCCTCCACCATGGCCGCCATGGGCCAGCTCGTGTTCGACGAGTACGGTAAACCCATCATCATCCTCAGGGACCAGGACCACCAGAAGCGGCTCACCGGCGCCGACGCTCTCAAGGTCCGTTCTCGCCATTGTTTGGTGCTCCTGCCTCGCCTACCTAGCCTGCCTCGCCTTCCTCGCCTATTCTGCCTATCCTGACACGCCTGCCTTGCCTACCTATCCTGCCTCACCTTCCTGGCTTGCCTTCTGCCTCGCCTATCCTGCCTCACGTGCCTATCCTGCCACTCGTGCTTATCCTGCCTCTCTCCCCCCTCCTGTACAAGTGGTCATTATTAGGAACAAAATGCCGTCACGAGTGTTGTTATGGTACAAACAGTTGTGTCGTCCTTTTATTTGAACTGATAGATTTATCTTTAGTTATCCATAGTTATTAATGCCAAAGAATTTAATAATTTACAAAATTAGTTGCAGGTCAATAGTAGATGTGTAGTTGGTTACGTGTCCCAGGCCCTAGTGTCCATACTCGCCTAATTGTACTTGCCTAATTATGCTTGCGGGGGTTGAGCTTTGGCTCTTTGGTCCTGCCTCTCAACTGTCAATCAACTGGTGTACAGATTCCTGAGCCTACTGGGCTCTATCATATCTACATTTGAAACTGTGTATGGAGTCAGCCTCCACCACATCACTTCCTAGTGCATTCCATTTATTAACTACTCTGACACTGAAAAAATTCTCTCTAACGTCTCTGTGGCTCATCTGGGTACTAAGTTTCCACCTGTGTCCCCTTGTTCGTGTCCCACCCGTGCTGAAGTTTGTCTTTGTCCACCCTGTCAATTCCCCTGAGAATTTTGTAGGTGGTTATCATGTCTCCCCTTACTCTTCTGCTTTTTCAGGGATGTGAGGTTCAGCTCCTTTAGCCTTTCCTCGTAGCTCAATCCTCTCGGTTCCGGGACGAGCCTGGTGGCATACCGCTGAATCTTCTCTAACTTTGTCTTGTGTTTAACTAGGTATGGACTCCAGGCTGGAGCTGCATACTCCAGGATTGGTCTTACAAAGTGGTATACAGGGTTCTGAAAGATTCCTTACACAAGTTTCTAAAGGCAGTTCTTATGTTAGCCAGTCTAGCATATGCCGCTGATGATATTCTTTTGATGTGGGCCTCTGGGGACAGGTTCGGTGTGATATCAACCCCCAAATCTTTCTCTCTATTTGACTCTTGCAGGATTTCACCTCCCAGATGATACCTTGTGTTCAGCCTCCTGCTCCCTTCGCCTAATTTCATCACCTTACACTTTCCTCCTGCCGTGTCCCTTTCCGTGTCCCAGGCCTTGTCCTAGTGTCCCAGGACTTGTCCCAATGCCCTAGTGTCCCAGGATTTGTCCCAATGCCCTAGTGTCCCAGGATTTGTCCCAATGCCCTTGTCCTAGTGTCCCAGTGTCCCGGTGCCCTAGTGACTCGGGGCCCCCAGTGTCAATGACAGTCGCCTATGTAATTTACATAATTATGTAAGGTATTTTGGTATTGTAAGGTTTATCATTAACAGTACTGTATGAAGTAGTATGTGTGTGTGTGTGTGTGTGAACCTCGACCAGTAGTGTACGGTACACTCAAAATTTGTTGTCACATTTTGCTCGCTTTAATTTTTTAAGATTATCGGTGGGTTAGTTTAGGTTAGGTTTATTGGGTTGTTAGGGTTTAAAATCTGTTGGCTAGCCATCCAGCCCGTCCTCCTAAGGTTTCCCAACGTCATTGTGTACTAAGGTGCCCTTATCCTAACCTAACAAAGGACCCACAAAGGTAAACGGGACAGTATGTCAGTTTTGTGAGCTGCAGCCATTTTCTAGTAAGACGATTTTTGGCCTTAAGTAGAGTACAGTATACGTCAAAATGTGGCGCTGTATTAGGACGGGTTGCAAAATCTTGTTTGAAGTGGCCTTTATCCTCTAGCAAGCAGGTACAGTGTACTTAGTACCTGTGGTGGCTTGCACTAAGTTTCAAATTTGAAAACGCTTGTTGTATATTATGTACATAGTATTATGTTTTGTGTATACAGTAGTACACTTCTATTCTGCTGCTTGGATTGGAATACCCTGTACATACAATATATAATTTGGCCTCTGTAAAGATGTCTCGTGCCTGTGTAAACTTGAATTGTGACGTGCACTTAAATTGTGAATTTAGTAGCTAATGATGTGCTATGCTCCGGATCAGTTTCTAGTATGTTTATAGCATGTTTGTGAATATATGATGTTTTTGTTTAAAAGTAATATTTGAAATACAGAATATTTAATGTGCAAAAAAGGCATTTGAAAGCGAATGTCAGCCCCCTCCCCCTATAAAACCATTTTTGGGTTATGTTGGCTAACATTTGCTAGGCTAATTTCTTGCCATCAAAGTGTGGGCGCGTGTCACGGCCTGTTGACACTGTGGGCGCGTGTCACGGCCTGTCGACACAGTGGGCGGGCGCGTGTCACGGCCTGTCGACACAGTGGGCGGGCGCGTGTCACGGCCTGTCGACACAGTGGGCGGGCGCGTGTCACGGCCTGTCGACACAGTGGGCGGGCGCGTGTCACGGCCTGTCGACACAGTGGGCGGGCGCGTGTCACGGCCTGTCGACACAGTGGGCGGGCGCGTGTCACGGCCTGTCGACACAGTGGGCGGGCGCGTGTCACGGCCTGTCGACACAGTGGGCGGGCGCGTGTCACGGCCTGTCGACACAGTGGGCGGGCGCGTGTCACGGCCTGTCGACACAGTGGGCGGGCGCGTGTCACGGCCTGTCGACACAGTGGGCGGGCGCGTGTCACGGCCTGTCGACACAGTGGGCGGGCGCGTGTCACGGCCTGTCGACACAGTGGGCGGGCGCGTGTCACGGCCTGTCGACACAGTGGGCGGGCGCGTGTCACGGCCTGTCGACACAGTGGGCGGGCGCGTGTCACGGCCTGTCGACACAGTGGGCGGGCGCGTGTCACGGCCTGTCGACACAGTGGGCGGGCGCGTGTCACGGCCTGTCGACACAGTGGGCGGGCGCGTGTCGGGGCCTGTCGACACAGTGGGCGGGCGCGTGTCGGGGCCTGTCGACACAGTGGGCGGGCGCGTGTCGGGGCCTGTCGACACAGTGGGCGGGCGCGTGTCGGGGCCTGTCGACACAGTGGGCGGGCGCGTGTCGGGGCCTGTCGACACAGTGGGCGGGCGCGTGTCGGGGCCTGTCGACACAGTGGGCGCGTGTCGGGGCCTGTCGACACAGTGGGCGCGTGTCGGGGCCTGTCGACACAGTGGGCGCGTGTCGGGGCCTGTCGACACAGTGGGCGCGTGTCGGGGCCTGTCGACACAGTGGGCGCGTGTCGGGGCCTGTCGACACAGTGGGCGCGTGTCGGGGCCTGTCGACACAGTGGGCGCGTGTCGGGGCCTGTCGACACAGTGGGCGCGTGTCGGGGCCTGTCGACACAGTGGGCGCGTGTCGGGGCCTGTCGACACAGTGGGCGCGTGTCGGGGCCTGTCGACACAGTGGGCGCGTGTCGGGGCCTGTCGACACAGTGGGCGCGTGTCGGGGCCTGTCGACACAGTGGGCGCGTGTCGGGGCCTGTCGACACAGTGGGCGCGTGTCGGGGCCTGTCGACACAGTGGGCGCGTGTCGGGGCCTGTCGACACAGTGGGCGCGTGTCGGGGCCTGTCGACACAGTGGGCGCGTGTCGGGGCCTGTCGACACAGTGGGCGCGTGTCGGGGCCTGTCGACACAGTGGGCGCGTGTCGGGGCCTGTCGACACAGTGGGCGCGTGTCGGGGCCTGTCGACACAGTGGGCGCGTGTCGGGGCCTGTCGACACAGTGGGCGCGTGTCGGGGCCTGTCGACACAGTGGGCGCGTGTCGGGGCCTGTCGACACAGTGGGCGCGTGTCGGGGCCTGTCGACACAGTGGGCGCGTGTCGGGGCCTGTCGACACAGTGGGCGCGTGTCGGGGCCTGTCGACACAGTGGGCGCGTGTCGGGGCCTGTCGACACAGTGGGCGCGTGTCGGGGCCTGTCGACACAGTGGGCGCGTGTCGGGGCCTGTCGACACAGTGGGCGCGTGTCGGGGCCTGTCGACACAGTGGGCGCGTGTCGGGGCCTGTCGACACAGTGGGCGCGTGTCGGGGCCTGTCGACACAGTGGGCGCGTGTCGGGGCCTGTCGACACAGTGGGCGCGTGTCGGGGCCTGTCGACACAGTGGGCGCGTGTCGGGGCCTGTCGACACAGTGGGCGCGTGTCGGGGCCTGTCGACACAGTGGGCGCGTGTCGGGGCCTGTCGACACAGTGGGCGCGTGTCGGGGCCTGTCGACACAGTGGGCGCGTGTCGGGGCCTGTCGACACAGTGGGCGCGTGTCGGGGCCTGTCGACACAGTGGGCGCGTGTCGGGGCCTGTCGACACAGTGGGCGCGTGTCGGGGCCTGTCGACACAGTGGGCGCGTGTCGGGGCCTGTCGACACAGTGGGCGCGTGTCGGGGCCTGTCGACACAGTGGGCGCGTGTCGGGGCCTGTCGACACAGTGGGGGCGTGTCGGGGCCTGTCGACACAGTGGGGGCGTGTCGGGGCCTGTCGACACAGTGGGGGCGTGTCGGGGCCTGTCGACACAGTGGGGGCGTGTCGGGGCCTGTCGACACAGTGGGGGCGTGTCGGGGCCTGTCGACACAGTGGGGGCGTGTCGGGGCCTGTCGACACAGTGGGGGCGTGTCGGGGCCTGTCGACACAGTGGGGGCGTGTCGGGGCCTGTCGACACAGTGGGGGCGTGTCGGGGCCTGTCGACACAGTGGGGGCGTGTCGGGGCCTGTCGACACAGTGGGGGCGTGTCGGGGCCTGTCGACACAGTGGGGGCGTGTCGGGGCCTGTCGACACAGTGGGGGCGTGTCGGGGCCTGTCGACACAGTGGGGGCGTGTCGGGGCCTGTCGACACAGTGGGGGCGTGTCGGGGCCTGTCGACACAGTGGGGGCGTGTCGGGGCCTGTCGACACAGTGGGGGCGTGTCGGGGCCTGTCGACACAGTGGGCGCGTGTCGGGGCCTGTCGACACAGTGGGCGCGTGTCGGGGCCTGTCGACACAGTGGGCGCGTGTCGGGGCCTGTCGACACAGTGGGCGCGTGACGGGGCCTGTCGACACAGTGGGCGCGTGACGGGGCCTGTCGACACAGTGGGCGCCTGCCGGGGCCTGTCGACACAGTGGGCGCCTGCCGGGGCCTGTCGACACAGTGGGCGCCTGCCGGGGCCTGTCGACACAGTGGGCGCCTGCCGGGGCCTGTCGACACAGTGGGCGCCTGCCGGGGCCTGTCGACACAGTGGGCGCCTGCCGGGGCCTGTCGACACAGTGGGCGCCTGCCGGGGCCTGTCGACACAGTGGGCGCCTGCCGGGGCCTGTCGACACAGTGGGCGCCTGCCGGGGCCTGTCGACACAGTGGGCGCCTGCCGGGGCCTGTCGACACAGTGGGCGCCTGCCGGGGCCTGTCGACACAGTGGGCGCCTGCCGGGGCCTGTCGACACAGTGGGCGCCTGCCGGGGCCTGTCGACACAGTGGGCGCCTGCCGGGGCCTGTCGACACAGTGGGCGCCTGCCGGGGCCTGTCGACACAGTGGGCGCCTGCCGGGGCCTGTCGACACAGTGGGCGCCTGCCGGGGCCTGTCGACACAGTGGGCGCCTGCCGGGGCCTGTCGACACAGTGGGCGCCTGCCGGGGCCTGTCGACACAGTGGGCGGGCATGTAGACGGCAGGGATTGAGCAATCGTACTAACTGGGCAACATTAAGAAAGGTCAGCATTTAAGGTTAAAAATAAAAAAAATGTACTTAAATGTTAGAAAGGAAAAGTAATTTGGTGCATTTGCCTTTTGTTATACAATATTTCAGCGTAAATGACTGTTATTTATATTACAGTCTCACATCTTGGCGGCCAGAAGTGTGGCATCCATCCTGTGCTCCTCGTTGGGTCCTAAAGGCTTGGACAAGTTGATGGTGAGCCCAGATGGTGACATTACTGTCACAAATGATGGTGCAACCATCCTCAAGATGATGGATGTTGAACACCAAATAGCAAAATTGATGGTACAGCTCTCCCAATCACAAGATGATGAAATTGGTGATGGTACTACTGGAGTTGTAGGTAAGTCTAAAATTAAAAAGCTTTTGAACCAGTTTATGATATTAAATTTTTGGGGGCAGGAAAGAGGGAGGTTTCTTACTGTAAAATAGAGAATACCAAAGAATAATCAATATCTTTTTTGAGAAATATAATATTTTAATATTAATTAAAATAAGCTAACCTACAAACATAAATACACAGATTTGCGTCTTGTCCTACATAAAGTGTTTGAGGTGTCTTTACGTAGTCATTAATGTGCATTTACAAAGGTGAAATGCAATTCTGACCAGCTTCAACATATCCTGTATACAAATAATGTACACAAACATATATATTCACACATACCTACAAATATCCACATATATATATACATATCTTCTTGAGGTTATCTTGAGATGATTTCGGGGCTTTTTAGTGTCCCTGCGGCCCGGTCCTCAACCAGGCCTCCACCCCCAGGTAGCAGCCTGTGACAGCTGACTAACACCCAGGTTCCTATTTTACTGCTAGGTAACAGGGGCATAGGGTGAAAGAAACTCTGCCCATTGTTTCTCGCCAGCGCCCGGGATCGAACCCGGGACCACTGGATCACAAGTCCAGCGTGCTGTCCGCTCGGCCGACCGGCTCCCTCCCTCTACATACACCTATGTATCCTACTTTGACAGGGTAAGATAGCTTCTGTAGAAACTAGTGATATTAAACACTTAACCACTGAAGATGATTAAGATGCTTTTACAAGCTCAGGTTATAGGTACATATATTGTATAACAGATGTATTACATATTGTATAGGTACAATACATTGTATAACAGATATATTAGTCAATCTTTGGTACAAGTCCAGTATATCATAGTGTTCCAGTATTCATATAGTACAGTAGTTCAGCCCAGGAGGGGGGAAGTCAGTCAATATGGGACATTCTAAATACAATATTCAAGGGAGTGCATGTTTTCTCTTTCACAAAGTTGACACATTGTGTACTCGACATTTGGGTTTTGAGAAAGCTGCCAGATACGTCTATATCTCAGGCATATTCTGGCCACTATAACATCACATTGCTGAGATCTTACTCTATTAGTTCCATATATAAATGTCGCCTCACGATATTAATAATGTTTAATGCTACAACTTTCAGGCTTTTGTGAATTTGTTTGGCCAGGGAGATTTTCATTAGATATTTAAGTATTTGTTTTGTAACTGCTAATGCATTTCCATAAGCAGTGGTGGAAATGGGGGATTTTTTGGGGGGAGGTATGCAGGGATACAACATACACCCACTTTGCAATTTCCAGGCTTCCAGAGAGGGAGGGGGGGGCAAATGGTCGCTCTCTGAAGCTAGCCACAGAGATAGTTTCACATGGATGGAGAAATACTAAAGAAATTGTTCACAACTTTTGTTAGACCAAAGCTGGACTATGCAGCGGTTGTATGGTGCCCATATCTTAAGAAGTACATAAATAAACTGGAAAAGGTGCAACGACATGCCACTAAGTGGCTCCCAGAATTGAAGGACAAAAGCTATGAGGAGAGGTTAGAGGCATTAAATATGCAAAAACTAGAAGATGGAAGAAAGAGGCGATATGATCACTACATACAAAATAGTAACAGGAATTGATAAAATTGATACGGATGAATTCCTGAGACTCGGAACTTCAAGAACAAGAGGTCATAGATTTAAACTAACGAAACAAAGCTGCCGGAGAAATATAAGAAAATTAACTTTTGTAAACAGAGTGGTAGACGGTTGGAACAAGTTCGGTGAGAAGGTGGTGGAGGCCAAAACCGTCAGTAGTTTCAAAGCGTTATATGACAAAGAGTGCTGGGAAGACGGGACACCACAAGCGTAGCTCTCATCCTGTAACTACACTTAGGTAATTGCATATATCTTCACCATGAATCCTTAATAGCCTACTTAGGACCAGAGCCACAACCTAGCCCCCCCTCAGGTTGATGAGGTTTGAACCCTCATCACGGCTCTTGTGGATTTGTTCATTGTCAAGATTAATATCGGACACATAGATAACATGCAAATTAGGTCGTAACGGACGACCCCACAGACGCATTCATAAATTTTAATGTGCTGTTCATTCAAAACTGATATTTTCTCAAATATAAATTAATGTTATATTAGCATATTGTGCACATAGAGGCATTGGTTAGGTTAAATGTTTAGGTTCTGTTTGCGATTATTTGTATTTGTAGTACTTGGGTGAAGCATTTATAGCGTGGTTCGAACAAAATTCGTCAAATGAAGCACTTGTTCCGGAACTGTTCGAACGTCATCAGTTACGAGTCGTATGTAAATTGCTTTTTATTCATAAACGGGGTTTGGCGGGTGCACGGAATCACTTATGGGCCTTATTTTTGTTTGGAGGACGGGCTGTTGCCCGAGCCACAGTGCTCATCCTTCTCCCTCAGTGTCTTAATGAACGCTGGTGTGTTGAGCCTCCCTGAGCTCCTGGGTGCGAACATATGCTGATTAATATAATACCATCGTGTTGCTACTTTAAAAGAGCTTTCCATACATATGTTATATAAAAAAAAATTTTTTTGTCAATATTTTGTGGACCCTGGCCCCTTAATGTGATTTCATAGTGTGCATTGATAAGTATTGGAGGCAGAATTACTGGACTATAGCAGAGTGCACGTGGACAATGGGTGGAAACCCTGATTGAGCTTCATTTGAAGCCTCGGGACCCCTAGGAGATTCAGTGGAATCGCAAGTTGTATTGCTTTTGAAATGTTGTGTAGTAGTAGTCTAGGGCACTTGCATGGGAGAAGCAAGTGAGTAGGTTTGAATCCTTCATATGGCGCCTACTGATTTTCTCGAGCAACTTCAAGGTTCACAGAGAAGAGAAATGAAGCGGCAAATAATCCACTTTATGGTCAGTTTGAACTCCTCGTGAGTTACAGCTTGCCACCACCACTAGGTGGCAGCACCCAAGTAGATGCTGGCTCCCATGTCAGCACTGTACAGTCCCAATTTGTATCCAATTCTAGGTAAGTGTTGACCATCCTTTAGACTGGTATTGGGTGCCCATTTGCTTGTCATTCGAAGGTCTAGTCCTCGCAAGCCTTACTTGTGTGGACTTTAGAAATTTCATTTCAGGCTGTATGTGATTAGGGCAGCCTTTCCCTAAATGCTTGTTTAGTGATGTCCCTGCCTTGACAGGGTGACTTTCTTGGTGGGTTCAAGAGTTCCACAGGCTAGCCTTATGTGTAGGGTACCTTGCCATAAGTAGTGCAATGGTCATTGATTCCTGTGAGACTGGGGTTTGTTGAGGGGGTGCATTTGGGTTCACATACTTGTACATAGGCATGCTGCTGATGCACTTTGTAGCTTTGTTTCTCTTGAAGGCTTTGGGTTTTTGGTAAAGAACTCTAGTGCCTGGGTATCCTGTTTGGTCCATACATTGAAGTCCTTGCAAGCCCCATGGGACTTTGGTGTAGCTCATTATGGACCAACCTGCCGAGCCTTCGCTTGCTACTTGCAAGTTTGAGGGATATTTGTTGGTTTTTATGCCAACTGATGGCATAAAAATGATGGTAGTTTTTACTACCTCTCTGCCATCTGTTAGGTATGTATTATCCTCTACTCTGAGGCTTGCAACATTTGGGTTTACTGGTTCTCTATTTTGCCTATATTATGTCGTCTGGTTTTTTGTTTATTTTGTTATGATGAGGCTCAACAGGCAGTGGCTACTTCAGATTCATTTGCCTATTTTTGTTTTTGAGATTTGGTGCTTGAGTGGTTGCCTTGGAGTCTGCCTTGGCTTTTGGAGCTGGAGCCGCTTGTCTTTCTACTGTTGCTTTATTTGCTGTTGTACCTACCAAAGTCTGGTATACTTATATGGACCTCTTATGATCCCCACTCTTCTGCTTTGTGCTCTGAATTGTCTGCGGGTTTCAAACCTCGGCTGCAAGTAGCTCGGTGAGAATTTCCATTTCACATTGACCCCCGGAGACAGTTGAGCCATTGTGTCTCGCCAAGGAACCATATGAGTCTCTCTGGGTGGGAGTGTGATATATATTGCTAGTCTGCTGCCTGTTTACTTCTCTTGCGACAGTCTGGTACCCATTACTGTACGTCTTTATATGTTGCCGATAATTTACTGTCACTGCCCGTCATAAACTTATGATACATAATCATAAGTTTAGCTGTGCCCCTAGGCATTACTTTGGTCATATAGTTACTTAATTAAATTTACTCATTTGTCTAGGGAAGTGTGATTGATGTTAGCCTTCTAGTTAAGCCAAAGGAAATTCCAACAGGAGCATAGAAACATCTAAGTAGAATAACAGAAACAAGTATATATTTACAAAAACTTGACTACATACAACAAGTAAAATATTCAGGAGAAAATTCCTAATGTCCTTAATGACTTTCACACATAGGTGTATTAATAATCAATTGCCAATATGGTTTACCTTCCTCAAAGAACATAAACAATATGGTAAACCTAAATACTTTGGTCTGATAACCGTAAGCTTAACCACTGCACTGCAGAACACCTTTTGGCGCTGGATCGAGGGTGCTCAGAGTGCCTTGTGGTATTTTTAGTTATAGGGTGATTCAGAACTGCTGTGGGTACACAGGGTGCACATTCTGTGCCTTAGGACTCCTGTAAACAGATGCCATCTTGGAAAAAATTGTCAGCATCCGTGCTGGCTGTGAGAATGACCAAGGTTTGTGCATGCTGGAGCCACGCACAGCACTGCTGTGCAGCTAGGGGCCACAGCACCACTTGATGATGAATAAAATAGGTAACAAATTATTTTGCATTGATTGTGTTATAGATGATCCTGACTATGTACAACATTCAAATATCAATGAACACAATGTTATGATATTCATAGCATGAGGTAGAGAGAGACGGCACTCGGCCATTGTTTCCTGCATCTACGGATCATTAAACAACCTTATGTTCCATCACCAATGTTCAATGGAAATGGATTCATATTTGGGATTTTGTGACAGGAATGTGATAATAACAGCGGTTTTGTAATTAGTCATAGCGAGATGA